TGGGAATTCCACAAAACCAATCACAAGTCCGGTCTTTCCTCGGTGCAGTGAACTACTACAAATCCATGTGGCCGCGCCGATCCCACGTGTTGGCCCCATCAACTGCACTCACTGGCTCAGGACCCTATGTGTGGACGCCAGCATGTAATCAAGCCTTTCAAGAGATGAAGGCGCTTCTTGCACATGATGCAATCAACACCTTTGCTGATTTGGAAGAGCCCTTTCACATATACACTGATGCATCTGATTATCAATTGGGCGCCGCAATACTCCAAAATGAAAAACCAATTGCATATTGGTCTAAGAAGCTCAACAAGACCCAAATGAATTACACCACGATGGAAAAGGAGCTTTTAGCAATCATCCTGTGTCTCAAAGAATATCGGAATATGCTCTACGGTGGCCAAATCATCATCTACACTGACCATAAGAATCTCATCTTCCGGACCCTGTCTCAATCCCGGGTTCTCAGATGGAAATTAAGCCTGGAAGGCTTTGAYATTACATGGAAGTATATCMAAGGCAAGCACAATGTSCTTGCCGATTGTTTCTCTCGCGTGCCCAGAATGGATCCGTGCACGGTCGGGGATAAAGAAAAGACAATTTATGAAAAGAAGAAAGGAACGATGGTGAATTTCAAGGAATTGGCAGCTCAAGTGGATCCAGAAGATGTATTCTACTTGGAACCCGAACTATATGAGTGCTTACTCAATTTACCACCAGTATCAGAAATGGAGAACCCAATAACCAATGCAAGCATATATACTTATCAGCTCACGGACCCCCAGTGTCAACACTTATTGGAAACTAACCCACAACGTTATGTGAAGAGACAGATAGGAACCTTTGAGTTACTCACAGTATCCACGAATAACAACAATGATTGGAAGATYTACTTGCCYRATGGTCTGGTAGACAAAACCCTCCGATGGTACCATCTCTTATTGGGTCACTGTGGGAGCACAAGGCTATATGAAACCATCAGCGCCAGATTTTATGCCCCAAGACTCAGTCTAAAGTGCAAACAGTATCACTGTCCAGACGAGTGTCACAGATTCAAGCAACAAGGACAAGGACATGGATTATTACCAGCTTGTGAGGCTCAGCTTGTCCCTTGGAATGAAGTCTGTGTCGATTTGATTGGCCCCTGGAAAATCCTTCTCCCGGATGAAACAGAATTAGTGATCAATGCACTTACCTGYATTGATCCAGTCACTAACCTATTAGAAATCATCAGAATCAACAACAAGTCAAGTGAGCATGTTGCAGAACAATATGCCAACTGTTGGTTGTCACGATACCCCAGACCCAATCGATGTGTTCATGACAACGGCAAAGAATTCATTGGAAC